CTTGCAAGCTTGCAGAAGTTTCATTCGCTCTACTAGATTTTTTTTTTTTTGCGAATTCCTTAGGATTAAAAAGAAAATATGGGGACACCGTACAGGACATCTACTACAAAGATATATTTGGGAACGCAAGCCCAATAGCAAGGGAAACAAAAGCAAAAATAGACATTTTCCTACATCAAGCCTAAAAGCTTTTGTGCTTCAAGAAGCCATTAGACAAACAAACAAACCAAAAAAACAACCTGCAGAATGGAAAAAAAATATTTGCATACTGTACATCTGACAAGGGGTTAATTTCCAAAGTTCTTACATAATTCAACAACAAAGGAACAAATGACCCAATAAATGGGAAAAGATCATCAACACTTTTTTTTTTTTAAAGATTTGTTTATGCCATATACCAGAGACATTTTGTGGGGGTGGAGTGGGGAATGGGATTAAAAACGGGTGGGGGGGAGGAGGGAGGGAAATGCACGGGATTATGGTGGTGGCACACGGGTGATTTGGTGATGGGAAACCCGCAAGGATTACAATCGAGATGGGGAAAAAAAATGTGCAAAATGATGTAAACATAAACTTTTGTAATAATTAAAAAAAAAAGATTTGTTTATGCATACAAGAACTGGGTACAAGCCAGAGGTGCAGGGGGGTGAGAGGGTTCACCAGAGACAGAGTGGGGACCAGAACATGTGGATCTACTGAAGTACACTGCTGAGGGGAGCAGCGGGCGAGAAAGGAAAGGTCTGCTATGCCATGTGGATCACCTCCCTGGCTGGGGATAGAACTCACTCATGCTGCACTGACTGTAGATAGCTTCATAGAGCTGGGCCAGGCTTAACAATTCAGGAAGCCCTGTAGCAGTACTAGGACATGGGTCCCAGTGACTGCAAGATGGGTTTCCATTGGGAGTTGGCCACGTTGAGACATGCTATAGATCTCGCTGTTTGCAGCTCTAGGAAATCCCAGCACCAGTCCAACCCTTCCCTCTGGAGCCCAGAACCAAGTCAAGGACTTGCAATGTAGGAGTTGCCTGCACTGTTAAGAGTCCAGGGTGCTGTTCCTGTGGCTACTGTACTGCAACTCAGGCCTACGCCACTAGAGCCCTAGCGGGCCTGCGTGTGTTGGGGCTATGGAAAGTCTGCTGCTTCTGCCATTTTTAGAGTGGCTTATGCTGACTGGCCCACAAGATTTCTGCACCCACTTTGTTGGTCAGCAGCACCAACAAAGCTGTCATGCTGTGCTACTCAGGTACAGGGGAAATCTAGTCATGCCATAGGGACCTTGTCTCACATATATTCAATTGAATATTACAGAGTTGTAAAGAAATATGAAATGGTGGCACCTGGGATGAAATGGTTGGACCTTAAGTTGATCATGTTGAGTAAAATCATTCAATGTGAAATATATTGGATGGGTCTACTTATCTGTGGACTACAAACACCCACAGAACATTTATATGCAGAGTAAAAGGAATAAAATTTGGACTCAGCAAAAATGAGATAACGGTTACCTGAGGAAGCAGGAGAAAGAGTGGAGAAGGAAGCAGAGGGAGTTTGATGGGCTATGGAGGAATAAAATTTGGACTCAGCAAAAATGAGATAACGGCTACCTGAGGAAGCAGGAGAAAGAGTGGAGAAGGAAGCAGAGGGAGTTTGATGGGCTATGGAGAGGGGTGGTTTGGTGAAAGGAAAAGGGCAGGTGTTTGATATAAAGCTTGATGAGAGGGAAACTGGCAGAAAAAAAAATCTTTTAGTACACAAAACTGTTCTTATTGTCACATAATTCCAAAAATATTTATTGAAATCTTTAAATTTACAAAATATTGTTCTAGTTACCAGGCAATACAACAATAAATCAGTTATGATCCCTGCTCTCATGGAGCTCACATTCTAAGGTACAGGACAAACATTGAGCAAACTACACAATTACTTCATAATGACTATGCTGAGTGCGCTGAAGCCTATTGCAACTTACCAAGTATATGAAGAATGAGGATCTATAAGGAGCGGATCAAAAGGAAGGGTATTAAACCTGACTTTTAAAGGAAAATGACTTAATTGGTGATGACGAGGAACGAGGAGCATAATTCTGGGTTATTACCTGAGCAATTGAACAAAGGCTTATTGGTAGGGAATGCTCAGTATGTCCAGGAACTGAAAAGACAAATGTGAGTGGGACACAGGGAACAACAGGAATGGTGCCCTTGGGCAGGACTGCTGTGATATGCAGGGATGAAGAGCCTACAGGGACTTACAGATGGTGTTAATCATTTTGCTGTTTATCTTAATAACTACAAAAGTCCACTGTCGAGTTTTAAGCACCCACTAAATGTAGGAATACATTTGCAATATCCAATAGGTGGGTATTGCAGAAAGAGTCTAGTCTAGCCTTTATACCTAAAGCAACAATCATAGGCCTTTGAGGAAATTATTAAACTTTAGGATTGACTCATTGACTCCCCTGAGCATAAATTGCTGTTTGCACTAGAGAAGACTTGTGATTTCCTCACTCTTAAATTCTATGAATTCCTTAATTTCTCAACTCTGAAAATAAATACTTTTAGATCTAATTAAAAGCTATAATTTTTAAAAAAAGATTTATTTATTTATTCATATGGAACTGGAGTACAGGCCAGAGATGTGGAGGGTGAGAGGATTCACCAGAGACAAAGAGGGGAGCAGAACAGGCAGATCAATGAAGTACACTGCTGAGGGGAGAAGTGGGCAAGACAGGAGATGTCTGCTGCACCATGTGGGTCTTCTTCAGGGCGGGTATCATATTCGCATTGTAGTGGCTAGCATGCAGTGCTTCAACCCAACACATTGCACCACCCGGGAGGGCCTAAAAACTATAACTTAACCTATGCAATAGTAATACAGAGCTGAAGTTTGATTATCTCAAAGGAAGATGGGATGTCCTCTTCAAGATCTGAAGTGGGGAAGGAACGAGCAATGATAAGATGCAAAATAAGAATAAGTAATCTAATGCTTACAAAAATTAAGGAAGCAGGAAGAAGAGGGCAAGACAGGGAAATTCAGTTTACTAGAATAATCTAACTTCAATGCAGCTAGTGGCAGTCAAGGGGGAAGTCAGCTTAAAAATGGTGATTCACCAGTAGCTCCAATTTCCTTTCCCCAGCATTTTGACATTTATAATTGACATTCTTTAAAACTTTTATGTTCTGCAAAGGATTTCAAGCATCCCATCTCCTGAGATTTGCTTAAGTTAAACGTTTTCTATTTACAAACTTTGGAGCAGTAAGTGAAGGCAACTCTGTAAACGAAAGGTCGTGTGTGCTTGTGTGTTTTGGGGGAAGAGTAGGTAGAAAAAACTCAAAATTCTAAAAAGTAATGCTAAGTAGGACGTCGGAGATCCGCTCTCCAGCACACTCCTACTTTTCCAGATGAAACAAAAGAAATATCTTTGAGGTCAGGTGCCATTTCCAAATTGGAAGGTGCCTAGCCACTGTTACAGGGTACCCCAGATGTCCTAAAGGAACTCTGCAGAGTTCCCCTTAACATTTCCATGATCCTCGGTGGACTTCTGGGTATCCCTTTATAGTGAAGCAGCGGCTCTCTTTCCATCCCGCAACGTGGGTAGGAAGCTGGAGCCAGATGCGACTCGGTTTGTCTGGCTGCCTGGGGCTCTCGGCCCATTTCGAGGCCGCCTGCTTGGTTTTCCCCTTCTTGCCCCTTCGACGCTGGGGAGGATACCCGTTGCAGGGTGGGCGCAACGCCCGCCAGGAACTTCAGGCGTTGATAGAAACGCAGGTTGTTCTGAACGACCAAAGAAACGTCAAAACAGGCTGGAGCGAAGTGGTCAGAGCAGATGACCGCGCGATCATTGCCACCGTACCAGCTGGCACGGCGGCCACGCGAGAAGCGGTTCCACAGCAGTCGCGCCGCCTGGTCCTTGGGGAAGCGGAACAGCGACTTCCCTCACTTGATGGTGATACCTCATCGGACTGCCACGCTTCGGGCTGCCACGCATCGGGCTGCCACGCATCGGGCTGCCACGCTGCGGGCAAGCATGCCCGTGGCCTTGATGCAGAAGAACTGAGCTCCCAGACCCTATGCCCGCGCCAGCACTGGGAGTAACAGCCCGGATCAAACGGTCCCGCCTTCACTTGCCCACGCCACGTAAGGCCAGCTTCCTTCCCCTACCTCTGCTACCGGAAGTAACGATCCAGACCCAAAGGACCCGGCTCTTCCACACCTTTCTCCTGGCCCTCTCCTGACAGAGGGTTGCCCTCGGCGGAGGGATACAAATTTCGCGCGGTCCGAGCTGACGTGGGTCCTAAAGAGGGACGGACCGGAAGTGGCGATTGTCATAGCTACCAAGGTGGCCGGCCTCCCCGCGGTAACCTCCTCCTCCTCCTCCTTACCCTCCAGCTCTGATTCTATGAGCCAGGAAAAGAGAAGGAGGAAGTACTGACGCAGTAGCACCCGCCATTCCCGCCCCCCCCCCACCTCTGGGGCTCGAACGCCGGAGTTGGTCAGTAAATTTGAGGACCAGACCGGAAATGGTAGTTTCCATGGTAACCCCTGAGCGGGTTGCCGGGGAGATGACCCCTTTCAATCTTTTAGAATCTCTGCTATAGCGTCACTAAGGCAGATCTAACAGATCCTGGACTGTCTGCTGCCATGATTCCCGGGAAATACCGCTCGGTTTCTGGCCGGGCTGCGAACAACGTATGTTGGGTCTTCTGCTTTCTCTTCCCGTTCGTATCGTCCTTTCAGGGTGGCGTCTTTGTCCTAGGTGATGGCTGTTATTGGGGCCGGGATTCCTGGGTTTACTCAAGCTATTGTCTGTCTGACTGAGGTTTTGAGATTCGTGGATTGGACCTAAGCACTTGGAGAGTATTTATTATTGTGTGATGGGGATTCAAAGCCTGTCCAGGATCTGTGTATCCCAGAAGGTGGAGCTGGTCTGCTGTGTAAAACTCAGTTCATTTAAATTGCTTTAGCCAGTTAATTCTTTATTATTATTATTATTTATTAAGAATTTATTATCAACGGACACTTCCACCTCCTTCACCGGCTCTTTGAGATATTTATTAGACTTAAGATGGAAGGTATTAAAAGCCTGAGTTGCTAAGCAGTGGGTTAAATTGCTGCAGACATTTTGGAAAATAAATCACAGTGAAACCTTATAATGCTTAGTTGTAATTTCCTTGTTTTAAAAAAATCCTCAGAATATGATGATTTACCTGAAACAAACCCCCAAAATGAGCATTTTGTTTTATTTTCATTATTTTGTTACATCTTTATCTACACTGTTTTGGCGAGGAGCGTATGTATGTGTGTGTATTTAAGTTAAGAGCATATTTTATGGCTTAATTTTTACATTGCAGGTGAACTGTGGGCTTCATCTGGTTATTCAAACTTCATCCCTTCCTGAAAAAAACAAAGTAAGATTTAAGCATATTTGTATTTCAGTTGAAGCTAAGTTGTTTCATATTTTACACAAATAGCATGATTTAAAGATTAGAGTGTGCAACTGGAAATTTTTAGCATATTTAATTTAATCTCCAATGTAAAGCTATTTTTTACTTTCTGCTTTTATAAAGACAAAAAAAAAACCTCTTTTGAAAATGTAATTGTATTTCACCAATTGCAAAAGGTCAGGGTTTTTTTTGTTTGTTTGGTTTTTTTTGGTTATACTTAAATCATTTCAGAATCCTTAAAATTGATGGCACATCATAAATACTTAAAGATTTTCTTTCTTTGTAGTGGGTGAAACAATGATATGTCTTATTAGTGACAGAACCTTAGAATGGATAAAATATGGTAATTTGGGGGGGATATATGTCTATACATGCCATTTAAAATCATAGAAAAAAAATATTAGTGGAAGTGTATTAGGGTTAATGCTATTTAGCATTTCAGATATGAAACATGAGATTCTTTTTTCCTGAACTATTTGTACATAATAACCCCACTATTTCCAGTTTCTGACTTTTAATTTGAGTTTTGAGATACAAGTTTTTCTTATCCTTCACCTAAACAGTCAAATTTCAGTTGCCTCACAACTCTTTCAAAACATAACACAACTTTTCTTCTTTTGAAGAAATTGGTCTCTCCAATCATTACAGTTCAGTATTTTCCTAAAAAAATATTGTTAAATAGATGTCACTGGAGCAACCCTAAAGCAAAAGGCAGAATTTATAGCTACATAGCTTGAAGAGAGTAAGGAAAGGCATGCAGAAGGTGATTGGAAGGACACCATTGGTTTAGGAGGCAGCAATTCATTACATTATGTGAATGCAAACAAACACTAGGAACATAGGCTTGAAGTAATAGTGGTTAATTAGATAATTGAAATGAATTTTATAAATTTTATAATTTGACTTAATGGGTTTCCTTTAAAGTTTTCCCAACATTTTGTATTCTTCCATCATGGTATACTTCTAGGGACTACGTACCTCAACCAGATTCTTCCCAAAGCATTCCTTTTCTTTTGTGTGGACCTATATTTTGAAAAAATACCTTTAGTTCATATAATTCAAAAGGAAATAATATAAGTGCTATTATGTTTATAGTATGAATGCACGAGAAAAATTCATTCAAGATATATACTTAGGGGTTTTGTGTGTGTGTGACTTGTTTTTTAGTCTTCTTATTTAAAATAATTTAAAAAAACTTTCTTAGAAGGTTTAGGCATACAGTAGTATTACCCTATAATTACTCTTAAAAGGAATCTAATTATAAAAACAGCTATTTTGTTAAACAGAATCAGTTTTCATTTCTGAAAATGATTCTTTTAATCATTACTCTTGTAAGATATGGAGGAATTGGAACTACTTCAGATTGATACATGGTTTTATCTGACTGTGTAACTGATTTTGTGTATGTGTGATAATAAAATACATAAAGCTAAAATTTACTGTCCTGAAGGCATCAAATACATTCACAGTATTGTGTAATTATCATAACCATCTAGTTATAGAACTCTGACATCTCTGGACAGGGATCCCCTATTAAGGGGTCACTTCTCGCTTCTCCCTACCTTCTGGAAGCTTCAAGCCTGCTTCTGTCTCTATATATCTGTCTACTCAGGATAGTTCATATAATGAAATGGTACAATATGTAACATTTTGTGTCTGACTTCACTTAGTGTGATATTTTCAAGCTTAATCTATGTTGTAGCCTGTGTCAGTATTGGATATAATTTTATAATTATTATTTAGTACTTGTTCAAATATTTTTATCTGAAATAATGTTTTTTAGGTTGAATTCAGGATAAATAAGGAAGCACCAACATTCCCTGGTCGACTTTTACAACATGACCTTGAAAGAAACTACGCGAGTAGGCAAGGTATTTTCAGTGAGTAAGAACAGATACGGATTATCTTCGTTGTTTAATAACGTTGACTCTTTAGATTTAAATAGCCTTCAGTTAAAGATGAAATGGCTCAGTGGTTAACAAAGTGATTTGTTATTTGTTTGAATCAGATTGGTTTTATATATGCAACATAGTTGTTTCCATGACAGAAAAAATATTGTATTTTATTTTGGCTGTGGGCTAGGCACAAGAAAAATGGGGGAAGAATGTTCAAAATACTGTATAAAAACTGGAAATTGGTGTATTAATGAGGGTGAGTATGGAAACACAGATATTTAGGAAATATCTGATATGGAAACACAGATATTTAGGAAGCAATGGATATTAGGAAATCAGGAGCAGAAAAGAAAATCTCCCTTAGAGTACAATTGTAGAAATTTTATATAAAAGGGCTTAAATGTTAGTGTACATCATTTGGGTTCTTATTAGAAATTCAGGTTCTTAGTGTTTGCCTTCCCCAATTCTGATTTTGTAGGTCTTGGAAATGTGCATTTTGATGTTTCAAGTGATGTGCTTTGTGAGATATCCTTTGGAAAAAAGTGCCTTATATATCTGGTAGATTTCTGAAATGTTTATTTCATTTCAAGAAGAAATTTCCTTTAGTATATTTGAGTAGCTAGCTGGTTGCTGACAGTGGTTAGCTATCTGTAATGTGCTGGTGTTAAATATTATAGAATCTTTGTATGTAGGATTGTCTCCACCTGGGAGTTTATATGAGACAGCTGATCAAGATAGGCCTCTCTAGATTGTCATCTCATTATTATAAGAACATGTGACAATTTGGAATATAGATTGTTTCCCCCTTTTTGTTTTGTTACTTCTCCATCTTTCTCTTGGGCCCAGATATCTCATCTCATGTGACTTTTCTATTTCCCCTACCTATCCTTTCGTCTAGGCTAATTGCTAGACATGATGTCACCCTATTTGCAGTTCCGATGTGCAGAAAACATTTGTCTTGCTGGTTTTGGTACTTTTTAGTAAATATTTATTGAGTGTAAACTATGTGCCAGACCCTTTTTAGATGTGAACTTGAAAAATCTCAACTAAGATATTTCATTTTTGTATTGTGAATCTCCTTCACAGTTTTGATTAATTTCTAAAGTTTGTTTTCTGAAGTAAAAATGCAACTTAAGTATTTTCCCCAACCTACTCCCCTTGTATACATATTTGTGGGTGACTAGTCAGTCAGGTAAATTTGCTTAATTGGTAAAAAAGTATTATTAGGTATTTGCTAATAAGGAAATTGTATGG